CCATCTTTTGCGCCAAGTGGCAGGTTTTAACTGAACACGGTGTTTACTCAGATTTGGACACACAGGAGAGATAAATGATCTTACACATGTTTTTATGAGAAACCAATTTTGATGAAATTGCTGGTAGTTGGATTAAGTGTTTACATCTCCTAAATGTGAAATGCTCTTGTACCATGATAGCTGAGGAGAGAATTAGTGCCAGGTGCTATGGATGTTGTATGTGTGGAGTCTTCCCTTTTAATATTTCAAGTGTTCCTCAGTCAAAACCAGTGTGAACTGCCCAGGAATAACTACTCACTGCCTTTTGGGAATGAAAAATGATCAGATTGTTGATACTTTGGATATTTTCCAGGATCATAGAATTTGATCCATCTTAAAACCAAGGACAGATCAAGTCTCAGCCTCAATGAGGTTTTCCTCAGTACGTCTCTGGTGGGCTGCAGAGGTACCTTTGTGTGTGCAGCCAGATGAGAAGTTTTACCTTGTGTCTTGAACTTTTGGTAGGGAGTGTTTTGCCCCTAGGTCTGTGCCTTTCTTGTCTTCAAACTTGAATGGAGCTGTGCTAATGAGACCAGAGACCCCTGGCTGCCCCTGCCTAGGCCACCTCACGCCGCACAAGGAGCTGACATGTGAGCAGCCCTTTGAAGCAGGGAGAGACAACTCTGTCAGCACAGTTCCTCTGGCAACAGCGTTTCTAATGGTGAGCACAAAGAGGAGTGGGTTTATTTTGGAGGCTCAGCTCTGGGTGTCAGGGACAGAAGGTGACCTGCTGTTCCTCATGCAAGGGAATGTAGTCCTCTGGTAGGCAGCCCCACACCAAGAGCATAGCAGGAGAGCTTTGTTTGGGGAAAATCAGCATACAGGTCATTTTTTCCCATGCGCAAATGGAAATGGTGGTGGTTTACATGCAGATCCGCTGAGCTGGAGCATGGAAACCTTGCTGTACAGCCCCAAGGCTGCCAGACTGCCGAGCTTTGCTGCTCAGTGGTACAGTCCTGCCAACAAACCATCCAGTGAGGAGCTGATGGATGCTGAGGAATGAGTGGTTTGACTAACAAAAAGTAGCGTTTGAGATGAAAGTGGCAGGGAGTGGGAAGGTTAATTCTGTTTTGGTGCACTAGGTCAGGCATGGAAGAAAAGGCATTCAAGCCAAGAGCTTCCTCTCACAACTTGGACATTTTGTTCATTTTGCAGACCAGGAATTTTACATGGTTTTAATTAACAAGGCCTTGAAGCGAAATAGAACTCCTAGTTGTTCTGGCTTGTGGAATTAAATGTAAATGTATAAAAAATAAGCATCATTCTCCCCCAAAGACCAAATATGTAAGTTCTCCTTGTTTCCAGCTCTAAGTATCCATGGCATGTCCCTGTTTATTTGCAGAAGAGTTCCTGACCAAACACAGAGTTTGTTTAGCTTTTCATACTACAGAAAGGTGGCTTGCACTGAAAACCTGTCACAAATTGGTAGCTCAGTTGAGTGTATAAAAGTACAGAGAATGCAAATGATTTCTAAAAATAGTTGAAATGCTTGAATCTAGGTTATTTTGGTATCTGCCATAGTTTAAGTCAGTATTAATCTGTTTTAACATATCTCAGAAAGGATTGAATTGAAACATTGAACTCAGAAGCAGCTTTGAGTTGAGATGGACCCTGACAGCTCTGGGGCAAAAATATTCCTGCTTTCTTGCATTTTTTAGTTCACTTTATAGAACAGTGCTTAGTTTAATTGTGTAGTTTCCTCTGGACTGATATTTGTTACAGGGATGTGAATTGCTGAATCACAGTATCATTTAGTTTGGAAAAGCCCTCCAAGGCTGTCAAGTTCAACCCCTAACCCAGCACTGCCAAGGCCGCCACTAACCATGGCCCCAGGTGCCACATCCACATGTGTTTTGAATGCTTCTAGGGGTGGTGACTCCTCTTCTTCCTTGGGCAGCTGTGCCAGGGCCTGATCGCCCTTTCAGTGAAGGCACTTTTCCGAATAGCTTGCATATAGTTGTAGTTGCGGAGACAAAATGCCTTAGTTTAGGGATTTTTTCCTACTGCTGGCAAGCAACTGCTGAGCAATCTCTGAGTCCTAGCAAAGATGCAGTAACAGAAATGGGGTTTGGGCTGAGCAAGCAATAAAACATGAGTCAAGGCCTTTTCTGTCTTTGGTACCTTGCAAACTTTGAAAGGTCGAGTGTTCCTTTAGGTACTTTTGAAGCTCCTATCATATCATATCCAGGGCAAGTAGCCCTGAGCACTGGAATACCAAATGCAATCTAATTAATTATGGAGGAAGAGCTACCTGACTGCAGTGAGGAAACAAAAGCTGTTGGGTGTCTCAAAGAAGGGCAGGTTTCCTCCTTCCTTTCCCCTCTCTTCATGGGGCACTGTACTCTGGGCTGTGGATATTAAACTTGTTGCTGAAATGGAGGGGGAATTTGGAAGATTTGGCAGCTTGGAAGAGGATTTCCATTAGGGAAACATCATTGTTCTAATGGAGCGAAGAGCTAAGAAATTAGAGGTTAGGAATGGTGAGTTTTGGTTCCACCTGCAATGCTGCCTCAGCTCTGGGGTCCCAGCAGAGGAGGGACATCAGCCTATTGGAGGAAGTCCAGAGGAGGCACCAAGATTAGAGGGATGGTGCACCTTTCCTAGGAGGAAAGGCTGAGAGAGTTGGGATTGTTCAGCCTGGAGAAGAGAAGGCTTCAGGGAGATCTTGGAGCCCCTTTCAGTGCCTAAAGGGGCTCCAAGAGAGCTGGAGAGAGCCTGGAGTGACAGGACGCAGGGAATGGCTTCCCACTGCCAGAAGGCAGGGTTAGATGGGATATTGGTGAGAAGTTCTTCCCTGTGAGGGTGCTAAGGCACTGGCACAGGTTGCCCAGAGAAGCTGTGGCTGCTCCATCCCTGGATGTGTTCCAGGCCAGGTTGGATGGGGTCTGGTACTTTGCTTGCATTCAGGGTCATGTGTTTGAGTTGTGAGTTCAGACTCTCTTGGGTTTTATTTCCCTGTGCCTTCCCTGAGTGATAGTTTGGACAGACTGCATTGTATGTGTTAATGTGATGATGCGAACACTCCTGTATTCAGATTGAAGGGAAGAGGTAAATATTTTCCTTGACTAATTACCTGTCCCATGTGAGAGCAAGAGCTTGTGCAGAGTAGGTAGCTTTCATTCATCTGTGGTTTTAATTCAGTTTGGGTCTTAATTTACGTCTTTACCACATGTGATGAAGATAAATCCATGTGCATATGTTAAAATCTGACCTTTGGTTTGCTTTCTGCGTTTGCTCATACTTTTTAATATATAGCTTCCCAGGCTCCAGATCAATAACCCAATGGGTCTGAAATGACAGAGTGCTACGATATTCCTCTGTAATTTAAACATGATTAGCTGATGAAGGTTATGATCAATATGCCAAGGGAAGATAAATTAATTGATATCATCCTTTCAGGATGATAAGAAGCCTATTGGAGGTGGGTTGTAACTAATGAATCTTCTTCCTCATATGTAGGAACCATTTTTTGTACAATGTGTTCTCACTAAATTATGGTATTGCCATTATTCATTTACATGGAAAACATAAGCCACGGACCAGTTTATTAACATTGTATTCATTTGAGAAGGAACTGTGCTTATACCATTTCTGCCTGTGCTACCTACAGTGTTGTGAGCAAAAATAATCTTGGAATTTACATCATTATCTCTTTATGTTTTCTGGAAAAGATAGACCAAGTTCTGTTGGCTTGATTACAAGTTTCTGGGTGACTTTTTAAGGAAATGCCAATATTGTCCCTGGTGGTGGTGAAGGCTGTGCAAGTGGCTGCAGAGTCGAGTCCTTGGCACAGACTTCATGAAGTGCATTCCTTCGTGCAGATGACTTCATGCAAGGAAGCTCAGTTTAGTTAGTGCTGTTTTTTGAGTGAATGCTAATCTCAATTTCTGAAGACTGGAATTTTGAGTAGTTTTTAAATTGTGACTTGAAAGTAGCAACAAATACAGCATAAAGGATTTTACTTTTAAATATTTATTACTTGAAAAGAGCTCTTTCCAAAGGCCTTAGCTGAACAGCAGCATGAGTTGAAATTCCAGTGTGTGACAGGACACATTTCTGAAATAGTTTGACTTGTTTACGTTGAAAAAATTGCAGGAGAGGAATGGAAGTTGCTGCATTTCACTTCAGGTCTGTTTCCATTTTTCACGATGAACATGCCAAGCAGCGCATAGAGATGTTAATGGCTCTGATCCCTGTATCCATTTAAAAAATGCTCTTTTCCTTATGTGCTGAAGAAAATTTATTAAAAAGTTGCAAAACAAATTAGGCACTATTCCAGCTGTGCTGCTGCTGCCAAGGAATGAAAGCTAAAAGTAGAAATCATGATGCAGCTTCTTCCCGCAGTGAATTTTCTGGACCGTGATGTGTGGTGCCACCGATCCAGCTACTCCATGTCAGGGACCCTTTATCAGTTCTGTTACTACAAGAATCATTTGTTTCAAACTCTAAACTTCTGGGTTCCAGAACTGATCATCCTGTGTGGTGGTTGGTGATTCAGGCAAGTCCATCTCATTTCTTGGCAGCAGAGAGTACATGTTTCCTGTCCACAAGGAGAGCATCCCAGAGAAGAAATGGAAAATGTCTGCCACTGTGAGCTTTGTTAGTGTGGCACTACAAATACTGAGTAGACTTGGCACAGCATGCCTGGTATTGGGTTTTGTACCTGGCACACTTGCCTTTTCCCCAGTCGCTCCCCTTACGGATCCCCTGGTGCTCGCATCGTGGAGTCAGAGTTCTGGGGCCTTTCCTCCACGTGGAGAACAGAGCTGGAGTCTCACGCGGAGCATATTGTGGAAAACCAGCATCTTTCATCCTCACTGGATGTGTTACAGGAAGTTTCTGGAGCAGACTTAGACAATCAGAATGCCTGTTAGTGTCTTGTGCATTGTGTGTATTCCTGACAGACCCTGTTTTCCATGTGTACTGTGCCTTACGTGCCTGGATGTTTTGTTTTCCTTTAGTTGCTCAGAAGATCGTTTCAACAAAGAAGAAACAGCAGCTCTCAATTGGACCCTGCAAATCTCTACCCAACTCTCCAAGCCACTCCTCTGTGTGTTCTGCCCAGGTTTCTGCCGTACATATCAGCCAGGTACAGACTATAATGCTTGAGAAAGGAACTGCTAAGTTGCTTTTCATCTGATGTATTTACTGCTCTTAAAAGTGCTCTTTGTGCTGCTCGAGAGATAGTTGCCATATTTTTAATGGCATCGGTGATCTGTAGTTTGAAGCAATATTTGAATTTTTCTTTAAACTGGCTTGACTTTGTTTCAAGAAGCTAAACAGTAAAACAAAAAAGCTTGGCTTTAAAGCCATCTATGATCCTTGTGACTGGTGCCAGCAGCCTGCAGCTCTGAGCCAGACCCACTGTTAAGCTAGCAGGATTTGCTTTGTTATGTTTAACATCCCCTCTCTGTGGTTTTGGTGGTTACTCCCACTCAGCTGTGAGCTGAGTGATACTCACTGGTGTGTCCCAGGGGTTAGTGTGCTAAATTTTACACTTGTGGTGACACCTTGTTGGTGTTTTTAGAAATACATGGGTGATACCAAAATTCTCTAACTTGCCCAATTTTTACCCACATGCATTGCACACTCCACTCTGTTTCCCTTCCTCAGCATCTTTGTTTCTAGTGTCAAGAGTCATAGAAGTGTCGCATACCCATCAGCTCTCCTGGTGTTTTTGTCAGTCTAAACTCAGTACTGTGCCAGTGTCTTCTGAGGTTATGTTGCAGTCTTGAGCCACCCACATGGGTTTTCTTTTACCTGTAGACCTTTCTCCCACACAGTGTGTCTACTTTTGGGTGAAAAGCAGTAACTTCTACCACTGGGTTAACCCTAAAGATGCAGATGCCAGTTTGGTCTTAGAGTTCTTTGCTGCGAGTTACTGTGCCTCAAGCTGAGTCCAAGTACTGACCTCAGTGTGTGACTGGTTTTTGGTGATGAGCCAGAAGAGAATGCTGAAGTTCAGACCCCCTTTCTAGAGCAGGTGTTAAGGTGCATGGCTCACCTGCAGAACTCTGGCACCGAATGGTGACGTACAAGTTCTCGTATGGAAGAGATTATCCCCTTGTGTGTCGTATATGACATTGGCCACCTTTCCTCAGCCACTTTGTGACCAGTTCATTGCCACAAGCACCTGGAATGTATCCTGTTACAGAGATGTGGAGGAGGAATGGCACCATTTCCAGAACTTGCCTTATTTGTGGATTCAGGAAGGACCTAGCTTACTCAGTCTGCTGAGGACTGTATTGTTTGTCAAGACTCTCCAGGGAGGATAGATGATGCTTTGTACAACCCAATCATAGCCAGCTCCATCTGTGTTCTACGTTGTCTTAAAGGAGTTGTTCATTCTTGTTAATGAAGCTTCTTTTGAGGAAGGACATCAAGTAGGTGCTCACCAGTTTCCTACCTAAGTCTAGTTTGAAAGTCAACAGCAGATACGAAATTGTCTACACAGCAAACGTCTTGCCAGTGATAAGGACTGTTTGGGAAAGTCAAGGCAAGGTAGCTTTTGTGATAAGGTTCCCTGCAGTCTGTTTCAAGAAAGATGAAATAATACTCTTTACTGGTGTCATAATTATCTAACAGGGCAATTGCATCACCAGTCAAAGATGTCTGTCTTCTGAGACTGATGTCATGCCTAAAAGTAGAGGCCAGAAATCTGTTTCATGTCTTATCTCTTTTGTGCTACACTTAAAGGCAGTATGACCTTGTTTAAGGAAAGCAAGCTGAATCCTTATCCTAGACTTAAAAGAACTTTGCAACTGCAATTCCAAGTTTAAGATGATCTGGGGCAAGATTTACCATCTCTGATCTTGGCTGGAAGACTGGCTGGTGTCTTGCCCTTTGGAACATCTCTTTTGGCGTAATAATGTTTCTCTGAAGATTTCCTCCATGAATCAAACCCGTTATTGTTGCAGTGCCCTGCCAGTTGCATTCTCCACAGGAGTGGAGGCCTTCAGAAGCAGTGGTTACCCACATCACTTCAGATAAAGTCAGAGATTGTTCCATCTCTGATTGGATCATCCTGGGGATCGAACTCATGCAAACTCTCCAGATGACTTTGCAGTCAAAAGCTTAGGCTTTAGAGAAAGGAAGAAAAGAAATAGGAAGTGTCACCTTACCCAGGCTAGTCCTTAGCATACCTTGGGGAAAATTCTAACACTTAATACTAGCAAGGACTTCTCCACCCAGTAGTTACAGTTTGCCAAGTTAGACAGGGCTCTGAGAAACCTGGTCTAGTGGAAGGTGTCCCTGCCTATGGCAGGGGTAGGAACAAGGTGGTCTTTTGAAGGTCCCTTCCAGCCCAAACCATTCTGTGATTCTGTGAAAGTTTTATTTGTGTGTTTGGGTGCATCTCTGTACTCGTCTCCAGTAGTCTGAGCTGATGAACACCTAGGTAATGTCCCCTTCCAGAAAATGCACTCAAGGTATGTCTACACTTACACACTTATGTATTTTCAGATACCTGTTTCACAGAATAGGATGCTTCCTATTCCAAAGACAAAATCCACTTGTGTTTGCAGCAGGTGCTGCTTCAGTTTTCCTTCTGACTTTGCTTTCTAATGCACTTATGTCAGTCAGGTTGAGGGTGTTACTTGGAAACGCTTGATAGCCAGAGTCAACAACCCTTGGTGCAAGTGCTTCAGGTACATCTGTTGGCCCTCAGGGCAGCACCAAATGCATGCAAAGAATTTTACTCTCAAATCCAAGGATTATTATTCATGGCCATGATGGACATAACTATTGTATGCTCTGTCAACAAGAAGGATGGCGTGACATCACTTATTCTGCTGGAAGCAATTAATCTGTCTGATGCTTTAAAGTACTTCAGTCAGCAGCTCACCTTTTGGCACCTCAGAACACTTGAAGAGGTAGACTGAGGTGTTTAGAGGGACAAAGTGTTTAGTGTGTCGAAGGCCTCTTGTTTGCCACAGGACATCTTGAGATAGTCTTTAATTTACTTTTTGCACACCAGGGAAGTACAGACCAGTCTCAGTTCTGCATCTGTATGCTCTGCATCTCTATCCCACCACTCTGCCTCTTGCCAGTTTTTCTTGATATGCTATCTATGCTTGTAGATCCTGCTAAATCCTGTTTCAGAGTAGCTTGAGTTCCCCTTCCATCCATAGGCATTCTGTTTCCGTAACTCATTCCTTTTCTGAAGGAGTTGCTTTTCCTTTATATCCGGCATATCAGGAAGGCATTTTTAAGGGTTTAACTTAGAAGAATAGTGCCAATATTCAACTAGGGCTCTTTCCTCTGCCCAGCCCGTGGAAGTGGAGATCATCTGATTCCAAAAACTGCATGGCTGCTCAGGTGGGCACCATCTTTGGCTCTCTGCCTTCTGTGTGAAGTGGCTCTGTACTTGATAACCTGTTGAGTTGTTACCTGGAGCTGGGCCTGTTTTTGACTTCACACTGTTGTAAAAACGTTTGGAAAATCCTGTGGCACAACAGCTGTAGCTGCTGTTTGTGTGAAGGACTCTGAGCCCCTCTCCAGACAGTTTATGTAGAGATGAGGAATCCCCAGCAGTGTGAGCTTACTTGTGAACTACAGTTTTGAAGGTAAAAATAAAAGCAATAGTTCCTTGAAATCTGCAGTCTGCATGTTTTTTCACATTGTCTAGCTTTTCTGAAGTTCAGCTGTTTGTTCTGGTGTGAGAGAAGATTGAAATGGCACCATGGTTCCATGTCTGCCTCTGCTGCGTACATTCCACTCTCACAGAGGGACCTTAGACACTGCATCTTCCGTGCCCCGAGTTTAAAAGTACTGCCTGAGGAGTGTGTGTAACTGTGTAAAGTCACCTGCAGAATAGGTTGGAAAAGCCCAGAGGTCATTGAGTTAAACCATTCTCCCAGCGCTGCCAGGGCAGCAGTACACCATGTACCCAAGTGCTACATCCACACGGCCTTTAAATCTCTCCAGGGATGGTGACTCCCACCACTGCCCTGGGCAGCTGAGCCAGGGCTGGACAGCCTTGTGGTGAAGAAATTTTCCCTCTTACCAATCTGAACCTCCCCAGGCATGGCTTGAGGCCATTACCTCTCATACTGTCCCTTGTCCCCAGACAGCAGAGCCTGACCCCACCTGGCTCCACTTCCTGGCAGAGAGTTGCAGAGGGTGAGAAGGTTCCCCTGAGCCTCCTTTTCTCCAGGCTGAGCCCCACAGCTCCTTCCCACAGCCACTCCTCATTAGATTTGTGCTGCAGATCTTTGGCTCTGTTTCCCTTCTCTGGACCCATCCAGCCCCTCGGTGTCCATATATGTGGACTGAAGTGCCAGGAATTGTGTTTCCTGGCCTGCAGTGTCGCTCTCCTCAGAGATTTGCATTATCCCTAGGGAAGGTAGGGGAGCTTGGTGTGCACTGTGCTAAGCTGCAGCTCAGGTGTGGCGAGCATACAACTTGTCCCCTGCTACCTGCTGCAGATCTGTAGAGATGCATTATTTATGCTTGAACTATGCCTCTATCAAATTTTTACTACCACATGATTATCTCAATATGTAAATTAACTCCTAAAATCAAAGTGCAGTCAGCTTGACCATCCATTATTTCATTGCATGTGGGACCTGATTGTGGATGAGCACTAAAGAGTAGGGTACAGTTATCTCATTTGTAGGCAGGGGCCGTTTTAGGTGTTTCTGTTGCAATATTTTGGACACTTGACTGGAGTTTATATTGCTTGACTAGCAGTTCCTTCTGCTTTTGCATGGAATTGCAAAATGAAATGAAAACAGAAGTTATAGTATGTTTAATAACATTGCAACATACATTGCAATCTTTTTTGTAATTACAGCGTTATTTCTAAGTATTCTAATGTTTAGTTAAAACAAGCATTTTAGATTCTCCCCAGTGAGGGTGCTGACACACTGGCACAGATTGCCCAGAGAAGCTGTGACTGCTCCATCCCTGGGAGCGTTCCAGGCCAGGTTGGATGGGGCTTGGAGCAACCTGGTGTGGGGGAAGGTGTCCCTGTCCATGGCAGGGGGTGGAACTAAACAAGCTTTAAGTTCTCTTCTAACACAAACCATTCTGTGATTCTCTGAATATGGCTTCCAGGTGTTTGTCTGGTTGTGTTTTCCATTGTTCCAGCCAATAGCTTATTTTGAAACCACCTCAGAACTTTATTTACCAAGCTGGAAATCCTGTGGGGTTGGTATGTGTGAAGGGAAACTTCTAATGCAAGACTTTTTTTATAGAATCTGTGTAGGAATGTGTGTCTTTAGGGAGCAGAATGCCCAACAGGTATGTGTTTTCCTGTAGGAGCTGCTCACTCCTGGAAAATGTATCACTTATAGATCCATGAAACAGCTGCAAAACCTATAAAATGACGCTCTAAGATGCTAAAGGATTAGAAAGGTAACATTCTTGGAAATCCTTTAGGTTCTTTATCCAGGAAATAGGCACTCAGGGTAGAAATCTGTTATTTTAGTTAAAAAAACCTCAAGGCTTCCCTGCCACCCCCCTCAGCTGCAGCTTGTCCAGTGGTTTGAGTACAAGGTAGATGCCACAGACACAGGGAGAGCAAGTCTGGGGTCATGGAGGTCACTTCTTCCCAGGTTGTCCTGCTGATCTGTGCAGTGTTACTGTTCTCCACCAGGGTGCTGAAAACAGTAATTTCAGTTCTCCTTCTTTGATCTTCTTTGTTTTTTACACCTGAGTCATCTCCAAATTCTGCTGCAGCTTCCTCATGGCACTTGGCAATGTAGAAAGTCTCTCTCTAGACCCTCTGTTACCTTCAGTGCCCTGACCTCTGGCTCTCTGACAGCTGTGCTTGTCCAATTCAGCCAAAATGAAGGGAAAATGAATTTCACATCCTTCATGTAAAGACAAGAACTTTGTTCATCACAAAGCTTGTTTGCTGCATTGTCACCCAGAGCTGAGCTGAGGGACATGTAATTTACTGAGAAACTGTGGCTTTCAGAGGTGTGTCCCTGGGTTCTAAGCTGCATTGGTCGGCCCTTCAGCCGAAACATGAGCTGCTTGTCCCAGTGTCTTCCTCCTTATGCTTTGCTCCTTGAATTTAAAAATCGCAAGTTTGGAAGACCTGGAAGAATCAGAAGAGGATGTGAAACATTAAAAGATACTTCAGCTGGGTGGTATAAGGGGATAGCTTCCTACTTGGTTTTCCCTCATAGGTTTCAGCTTGAGATCCTGATCTGCACACTGACCCCTGAGCAGAGTGTGAGAAATCCTGCCAGGTGTCCTCCTCCTCAGGCATTTTGCAGCTAGCCTCTTATCTTCTATCACTTCTGGTAACCTTGGCTGCTTTAAGGTGGTCTTTCCCTTTTTTATATGCACCACAGACCTTTATTCCCCTTACACACAATCTGTGTGTGAGTTTGTCCAGCCCCTTCACCCACTGCTGCTCCCCTGCGGAGCATTTCGTCCCTGGCACACAGAGCTTTCCCCGGTGACCTGCCCAGTCCCCCATCAGCACAGACTGTGTGTCCTCAGCAGGTGTACTTGGATCTGGTAGGAAAAAAGTCTGTCCTTTTGTCATTCCAGATTGCTCCTACATCCTTCTTAGTGGTGTTTCTAGTACTCATTTATGTTATGTGTAATAATGTTTCTGTAAAAAAAAATTCTAAGACTTTGTTCTTAGTCACTTTTCGGTCCTTTCCATTTTGTCTGCTTTCCTCACCTCACCTTCCTGTTCTCAGTAACTTTTTACCTCCATTAATCAATTGTTTCCTGGGTAGCTGCTTGATTTCCTTCAGAACTGTGATGTAACATTGCCTTTTTGGCTTCTCTGAGTAAAGTGGTATATCTTTCTTGGAAGTTTTGGATCTCTGTACCAGTGGCTTCAGCAAATCCTGTGCAGGGCCAGGAGTTGGACTCAGTGATCCTTGTGGGCCCCTTCCAACTCAGACGATTCTGTGATCCTTTACATGTGTTGGGAACTATCTAAACCTGGAGTAGCCCTTTCATAATGTTGAATTATTTTAATTTTCTTGTTGAGCTCTCAATGAAGTGATGTCTCCAGACTAGGGTTGCCTTCAGCTGTGTAGCTCCATGGCACTGGGTATTTTCTCTTAGGTTAGAGTCAGAATTTACTGTAGTAATTTTGAAGTAGAAAAGCTTACTCATGCTTACTCGTACCCTAGAAAACAAATTAAGCTGTTGCTATCCAGTGAAGGTTATGCTGTGTAGAATGTAATGTGCCTGTTGTATCAACACAGCTTCCTGAGCATCCCAAAAATGATGGCAGGGAAGATATTTTTGGGATTGGAAGAGAAATGTGTGGCACTCTAGCAGTAGGACAGCCCTAGCAGTAGGGTAGCTGCATTCCCTGGCTGCAGCTGTTGCACAAACTAGGAGTAAATCAGGAGTAAATGAGCTATGGCTGTGGTTTGTAATATCTTGGAAGCAGTGTTTCACTGTGTAAAACTAACTTTAATCCTTGCAGACCAGTAATGGAGGAGGGAGTTTAAGTGATTATTCCTCCTCTGTCCCATCAACTCCAAGCACCAGCCAGAAGGAGCTACGGATTGATGTTCCTCCCACTGCCAACACACCAACTCCTGTCCGTAAACAGTCCAAGCGCCGATCCAACCTCTTCACGGTGAGTGAGCCAAGGGAGAGTCTGTTGCTGTCTATACATAGTGTTGTGCTGAGGGCCTGAACTTCAACCCTGGTGAGTTGAGCTGGTGTAATCCTGACAGGAGTGTTCAAATCTGTGGACTTAAAAGCAAAAATATCTTGGAGTTATGATTGAATGTTTCTGTTTGAGACTTAAACAAGAATTAAGTACAGTGACTACACAGGAGCACCTTTCCTAGGAAGACAGGCTGAGAGAGTTGAGGTTATTCAGCCTGGAGAAGATAAGACTCCAAGGAGACCTCAGAGCCACTTCCAATGCCTAATGTTGTACCAAGAGAGCTGGAGAGGGACTTTGGACAGTGGTCTGAAGTGACAGGACACAGGGAATGGCTTCACATTGACAGAGGGCAAGGTTAGATGAAATATTGGGAAGAAATTGCATGCTGAGCCACTGGTACAGGTTGCCCAGAGAAGCTGTGGCTGCCCCATCCCTGGAAGTGTTCCAGGCCGGGTTGGATGGGGCTTGGAGCAACCTGGGCTAGTGGGAGGTGTCCCTGCCCATGGCAGGGGTTGGAATGAGATGAGCTTTAAGGGCCCTTCCACCCCAAACCATTCTATAACTACCCCATGCTACTTCTATTACTATACAGAATCAACTCACTTTTCCAGGATTAAATAAGATGATGGAGATTAAAATAGTTATTTTCTTCCTGTCCTGTCTGGTTTTTGCTTCACTAAGAGGCCAAGGAAAAAAAATGGGTACTAAATAGAAAGCTTGACTGGTGCAATGTGATAGGTCTTTGTTATGCAGAAGTAGTGTGGGAGATGGTAATGAAGCCTTGAGTGATTATTTCCTCAGTTTATCAGCCTTGATGAAAGCTCTGGGATCGTGTTCTGTGTGTAACTGATTTGTAAGCGCTTTTTGACAGTTAACATGCTTTATGGCTAACACAACATCCCTGTGGGCTCATGTGTGAGTCCCTTGGTGATTGCAGCTACATGTTAGTTGCATTTAGAAAGCCAAGACTTCCCTGTCATCATAAAGGGTTTGGTATTTTTATTCCGAAGGTGATGTTATGTTCACTTCCCACATACAAAAATGATAAAACCATTTCGTCATACTCTGAGTGAAATCTGACCCCTCAGCCTTTAGCAAATGGAAACTTCTGTCGCTGTTCAGGAGTGCTGAGTGATAGCACTGAGTCCCAAGGTCCTGTGCCCATCCCAGCAGCTGTATTCTCATTTAAAATCAGATCTTCAAGCTTCTACAGAGGAGAGAAAGTAATGCATTTTTGTTTTGGTGCAAATGTATAAAATATGTAGAAATGGGTGGCCTGGGAAGAAGTGTCCCAATAGTGACACCAGTATTTGATAGTTGTGTGGATTCTTCCTTGTTGGAAGAACTCTGGAGTTCCCAGCCCCACTAGATGTCAGTGTCAGCCCAGAAACCAGCAGCAGTCAGAGCTTTGGAAGCAGAGCTGGGACCCCACTGCATCCCTTGAGTGTCGCCCACCACATCTGGGCTGAAGATACATTAAGTGCTGTGAGGTGGTGTTGACATTTGGAAAATTGGGGATGTTTTAATTTGGAGCAAGTGTAAATTTGAGAAGGCGAAGAGAAAAAAACCAGACACATCTACGATCACAGAGAAGGTTTGGGAAGAGCATTGTCAGCTATAAACAAATAGACTAAAGCTCTAGTCTGATAATATAGTGTAGTGAGAACCAATTTTACTAATATGAGTGGATGTTGATAGTTATCTTAATGTCTAATAACTGGGGGAAAACTGGAGGCAAAACAAGCCTCCTGGAACAAAAATAGTAACAGTTTGAGTTTTCAGCATGAGTTGTGCCTTCGAAATGTGACAGGGTGAGGGCTGTGCAGTGACTCGCCCTGCAAGTCATGTATGCAATGATGGGTATTTGATACCCAGCTTGCTGAAGCAGCTTTCCTGCCATATCAGCCAAGCTAAAACCTGGAAATATTTCAGTGAGTAAACACACGACCAGTTTTCTCTGTGCACTTAGGAACAGAGTGCAAAATCAAAATACTGTTTAGCTCTGGGTTTCTTGCAGTGCTTCTTTTCCCAGCCTGATGCTTCTGTCTTTATTGCTTAGAGAATCAAATCTATTTCTGTTTAATAATTGCAAATTGCCCCTTGTTATCTAGCATAGATAATCTGGTTATTGAGCTTCAGATCTGTTAGTGTTGGAAGCAAACTGGGTTAAGTACCATACAAACATGATTTTTCCAAAATCGGTTACAGCTTTTGAGTTGGAATAAGGTTGAGAGTTTTAAGAATGTTCATGTTTAAGTACATTCAGTGCAGCATCTAATCTTTTTGACTCTGAGTGTTTATATTTGTTGTAAAGCTATTGTCGCAGCAGCTGATTTTCCACTTGGGTGATAAAACAGATCAAATATTAGCAGAAGGGTTAATGTCCTTTGATCTAGGCACTGTGTTAATAGGGGCAACTAAATAGTGTGTAGGGCAGGTGGGGATTTTTAAAAGTGCATATGTGAGGTCCATTTCAGCCAGGAACTGATCCTAAATAAGTCTGATCCCATGTGGGGTGAGTGAATTTCTGGGACAGTGAACTGCATCTCCTTTCCCATATGAAGTATTCCCTGTCTTACATATTTGCAGAATTTCAAGAGTTTGTCCAACTTAAAATGAGCTCTCTGTCTTAGTATCTACTATTGGAGATCAGTATTCTTACTTTTGGGGCACTCTGGGCTGCTCATTTGGGTCTGGTTGTGCCCAGACTCAGGTGCTATGTCCCTCTGGGATAGATCTTACTGCACAGACCTAACCTGAGTAAAGCTTTACATTGATTCTCTGTATGGCTTTCAGTGCAAAGGGGAAATGAGTCAAATGATACTCACCCAGGTGTTTGAATTTTTCCAGACTTTTCCTGGTTCCCTGGCATGAAGTTGTAAATAGAACCATATAATGTGTAGATGTGCCACCAGGAAAAGTCCTAGCAAGTGTTGATCCAGTGTGGGTTAGAGGCTGGGGTTTTTACGGCGTAGGGTGTAAGGTGCATTGTGTGTGTCATAGGTTCAGAAGCACAAAAGATCAAAGCATGTCTCTGTTTCACTGCACAAACAGCAGAGCCTGCTAAGGTTCTCCCCTGGAAAAATGTTGTGGGTTCTGTGATTACAGGCAGCTGGGATAGAATTTGCCTAACAGAATGCCTACGTTTCTGTACGTTTGGCATTTAACAGTGCCTCGCATGTGGATATTTCCCATCCACACGCAGTGTGCCACTTCCAGCTGCAGTTACTTTTGCAGCATGGGAGACATGATGATTTAAAAGTGAAAGTGGAAACCAGCGCATAGGTATTCACTTGCTTTGCAGAGGCAGGAGCTTTCCTTTCACAAAAGTCTGATAAAAAGAAACATTCAGGTTGACAACTGCCCTCTCAAGGATTTGGCTACCTTCACTGAGTCTCTTTGCAATGTCACTGACAAACGCTTTGCGCCATTGAGGCTTTGTTTGGCCCTGTATTCTTGGGAAGTGGCACTTTGAGAGTCAGAGATCTGTCTTGAAGGATGAGGAACAATAGTTATCCTGCACACTGGATTTCATCCCTCCCACTTGTTTTGCTTGCATTCATTTGTTCTTTGTTTAATTCCCTGGCACATCATTCCATTGCCCCAAACCATAGTAACTCTGATAGGAGCCTGTTCCCGGAGGAGCAGGGAAGGCAGCACGGGATTC